AATATGTTCGTTTTACACAGCACTCACCACTATGTCAATAAATGCAGTGAGAGCGATTTCCTCGCATTCATTTATCATTTCTATGTCTTCCACTAGACAGTGCATTGCATTTATTGTAGATTTGCCTGTTTGGTAGGCAAATTACCTAGGATTGAGCGGTCTATTCGATAGGAACTAGCTTCTGATGTATTGGTCTATTTCTTTCTCCATAGTCTTGAGGAGAAAGGAGATTGGACTAATGGGACTGTATGATTCAGGTTCGTCTTCTGGCCTACGGCCTCTGTCTTTGGTATGAATATTACATTAGCATCCCATTTTTACTTAAGGATTTGTAGGTGTTGAAGCTGTCGATTACTCATCTTATACTATTTGCTGTGGAGATTTTGTTCTGTAGTCGCATCGATATTGGAGGTTCTTCTGATTCTAAGCATCTTCTATGATTTGTGAGCCAAACCATTATTTTTTCGTCATCATTTGAGAATCGCTAAACCAAATGTTTCCAGAATCGAGGATTAAGTTAGGAATAAAGAGACCTTTAAGACCATATCACTCGACACCGTCTTCTATTAGGGCTGTTTGAGAGAGGTAGGTTGTCTGATAACTTTATGACGTCATCTGGGATGCCTTAACATAATGCAAATCTCCATAAGGCAATCCAGATGCGTCATCAAGTTACCCATTACCAGGCAACCTATTACCGAGCAGTTCAAAAGTTAGAAGGGGGGCGACGGACTTTATGTCCTCACTGTATGTAACTATGCTTTTGACTATGGTGTTGTAGATTCTAGTTTAGTTAGTTTTGTTGTTATTTTGGTCCCACAGTACAGTAGTACTTGTATATTCCGATCTTTAATTACGGTATCTAGGGTTCCCTCATGCGAGATTTTCATTCTCCAATATTTGTATTCAGTACATTGTTTTATTTCTTGTCCGTTATTCAATTCCAGAGTTCGTGGTTCACCTTCAATAGTCATATATTCCATTTTAGTTAGATTTACTTCCAAACCCCATTTCTCGTATACCTCTATCAGTTTTCGTGTCATGTACTCTAGGTCATCATAGTCCTGTGCAATTACTACTTGATCATCTGAAAATTCAAATTTTTCTACAAGTATTTTTACAGAATATTCAGAAGTTTTCAGTAATGTAGGTACTTTTAAAACAAAAATGGTTATTCAGGTTGAAGAGGGAGTTCAAAGATTTGCACAAACAACTCCTAGGGTAAAACCTATTCCTCTTCTAAAACCCCTTAAAAAAGAACTTGATAGGCTTCTTAAGTTAGGCATTATTGAACCAATTACAGAATACACACCTTGGGTGAGCCCAATTGTAGTTGTCAATGAAAATTCATAGATTAGGCTATGAGCGGACTATACAAAATTGAATAAAGCAGTGTTAAGGCCTTGTTTTCCCAGAGGGAAAGTAGAGATAATTATAGCTAAAATCCAGGGATCTAAATTTTTGTCATAATCAGATACTAATTCTGGATTTTACCAGATAAAGCTTAATAAAGAGTTACAACCTTTAACGACCTTTATTACACCGTTTGGACGTTTTCTTTTTAAGGGTCCCATTTGGTTTAATGTGCGCACCAGAATATTGCTCAATATTACTAAATAAAATTCTGACAGGAATACAGGGTGTATTAAGTCATATAGGTGACATTTTAATTCATGCCTCAACTTAGAAAAACATAATGAAATTTTGCATACTGTTTTGAACAAGATCAAAAATGAAGGTCTCACATTAAATAAGGACAAGTGTGTATTTGGGGTTTAGTCCTTACAGTTTTTCGGGCATATAATTTCACATAAAGGTATTTCAATAGATCCAGAAAGGATAAAGTCTATTGAAGCTTTCCCTCAACCTACTAATAAAAATGAACTTCTACAGTTCTTAGGTCTAATAAACTTTCTTAGTAGATTTTTGCCGAATAGGTCTCAAGTTTTAGAAGTTTTAACTCCATTATTAAAAAAACATGTACAATTTACTTGAGACATAGCACAAAAACAAGCTTTTATTGAGATTAAAAATTTACTCCAAAACAGTTCATGTCTAGCATATTTTGACCATACAAAGAAAATTGTTATTTCAGCAAATGCGTCTTCATATGGTATAGGTGCTTGTAAATACCAGTGTACAGATAGGGGTGAGAAAGAAATTGTAGCCGATTCGCCTCGTTTGCTTTCGGAAACAGAGAGTATTTTAGTATTTTAAGTCAAACAGTGACCACTAATCGAATTCCAGAAAAGGAAAACAAGGCAAAAGGGATGTTAGCTGAAAGATATAACAAAAGCCATAGAACTGAGGAATTGTCAAAGCTCTCTGTGGGAGATAGTGTTTGAGTTGCAGACCTAAGGGAATATGCAACAGTTGTAGCGCTGTTGGATCAACCCAGGTCAAACTTGATTGAAACCAGTTTCGGAAAATACAGGAGAAATAGGTGGCACCTTATTATAGAACTCCTGAATTTGTATTTAATCAAACACCACCTCCAAATACAGATGACAATATACGTAGACTTAAGAAGTGAAAGTGTTAGTGCTTCAGGCGAAACCAAACCAGACAATTTGTCAGCTGGCAGCCGCGTTAAAAATAGTGTTGACGTTCCTAGTGAAAAGATAATAAGTTACAGTGATAGTGCGCTCTTCTACTCTGCACCTGTTCGTAGATCTAATAGAGAGCATAGGCGCCAAAACATTTTTAAAATTTTGTCTTAGCTTTAGTCTTAAGTGATGATTTAAGTTACCGAATCTAAATATGGCAACATTGGCTGACTAGATCCAACATGGCGTGTGCATGTTGGCTTTCGTTTTAGCTCCCGACATTCGTTTGAATTTGAGTTAATTAAAGTGATTGATAAAACCTAGATGGGTGTTTTATTGGAAGTAAACCGATAACTTAACAATTACTATATAATATGATTGTACTGAAGATATCTAATGAATTCTGATTTTTTAATAGCCTACATCCATATCACGTCGTACTGCATCAATCCTTCTCCCCAGAATATTTTGACCCTCGCCTGGACATCTGCAATTGGATGCAAGGGATGATGGCAGAGAACCCCAATTTTCTTAGTCAAATTCTCTGGACCGACGAGGCAACCTTTGGCAGCAATGGTGGGGTCAATCTGCACAATATGCATTATTGGTCCGTAGTGAATCCCCGTTGGATGAACCCTTCTTCAATGGGTGTGTAACTGGGGTGACCTATCGAAGATTCTTGGTAGACGAACTTCCATTACTTGTAGATACCGCAGGCGCTCCTATCGAGACCAGGAACTCCATGTATCCACAACAAGATGCCTGTCCAGCCCACTATACAGCTGTCGTCCGTAGGTACTTAGATACAACATTTCCTGGAAGTATTTCTGTCGCAGAAATTTAGTCAGCAGTAGACTCTACAAGAGGAAGAGTTCAATATTGTATTGACCGGGACGGCCGCCAATTTGAACATCTAGGAAGACACCTACATATTAATAAGTAGAACTTTCGAGTTAGGACGGATGCCATAAATGTGTGGGTCTATTGAAGAATTGAGAAGCTTGGCAATGAGCGGAGAATCATGCAACTTCCTGTAACATCATCAATCGCTTAGTTTGTTAGAGCGTTGCACCGGCAATGTTGATGACCCGGGTTTGAATCCCATACAAGGCAAACATTTTCAATCCTCCAATTTTGCCTAACTTTCTTTTCAATCTCCACGCTTTTCGGTTATTGTAGCTGACAAAACTTCATTCCTTTCGATAAATAATAGTTGCGGGAAATACGCCAAGAATAACCCTAGCATAGAAACAATATATCAGTAGACACCAACACAAAACCGAACCAAAACTACAATTAACTTAACCTCACCAACAAAATTCAGAAAGCATCCAAAGGTAAAACCTCTACTCGGAATGCGCTGATTAAAAAAATCCGACATTGATACAAAGTGTCCTCAAGCCATGGAAACCTTTGAGCTATTGACAAAAATATGCAATATCGCGCGGTTTCAAAAAGCCGTCGAATAATTGCACATGCGAGTGAACAGCTGCAGAAAACATCGAATATACTATAGAAGCGTCAGAACATTCTGCTAAAAACGTATAACAGAAAACACAGGGAGACAATAAAGATTAAAGGGGGCCCTTCGAAGCATTTGCATGTTAATGTTGAGAAATTAGAGAGGAAAGCAGTTGAGATCAGAGCAGTCCGAAGCCAACCTTCGAAAATTTGGATTAAGAGAGCTTGTGTTAGTATTTGATTTGCCACTGTACATTTCGTGATCCAAATTAGTAGCATGTTTACGTATCCCTCTACAGCTTATGTTTTTTTTTTTTTTCTAAATCATTTTTGCTAGGGTTTTTCATTATATTTTTAATTTATCGTTTAGATACCTACAAATGTGCCTGAAGATGCAGCAGTAAAAACTTGAACAAAATATACTTACAAAATATTGGCCCGTTTTCAGTTTTTCCAAAACCCAACATTAGTTGAAACATGGATACCTACTCTAGAATTCATAAAACTCCCATATTTGAACCTCATACTGTTTTAAACTTGCTTAGAACTTTTCCGTTCCAGGGACTTACTTTTGGTCAAACTTTTCGCGTAAAAACCAATTGAATGACAGAAATATTTTGCCAAGGTTTGAGTACATAATAGTTGCGTTGCTAATCTCGAGAAATTGCAAATGAGTTTTCGCAATTAATTACCTAATTTCATTATTAGTTGAAAATTTAATAAGTAAATGCATCGAGCTTTTCCTTTAGCAATTAATATTTCTTTGTAAATCTCATCGGGTTTTAAATCCGTGGGGGCTTGAAATTTTAATTAATAAAATTGCCAAAGCCAGAAATTTCTGAAAAAAAAAACAAAGACAATTACTTAAAACCGAACAAACCGGCTAGAATTCGCCAAAGAAAGTTTTCAGTTGAATTATTTGTTCAACAAAAATACCAGGCTTTTCTTTCACTTCAACCTAATACGGTCTAATGGATATAAAAAACAGTTTACCTTTAGCCCTGTTTGCTGGTTCGGATGGAGTCTCGCAGGTATTTCCGGTGAAAAGTTTGGAGCAGTGACACTTAACAGCCGCAACTCCGACGTGCCTGAAAATTTAATTTTACTATTGAGTCTTTCCTTTTTAGCTAAAGCTTTTGAATTTTATCAAAGCAGATATATATGGCACTAGGTTTACAAAACATTAGAGCACTAAAAGGGTAATTAAAACATTGTAAATATTGGCGAAACCGGAAACCCATCCAAGCAGATCTAATTAGGTCAGGCTAGTAAAACAACCCTTTAAAAAAAGAAGTTTCAAAGTTAATAGTCTCCATCCAGTTTGGTTTAAATTCGAGAATTTAAAAAAGAACAAATAAGATGAGAAGAAAGTAAATGCAGTTTCAGAAATGTTTGCTTTTAATTTATATATTGATACATAAGACTGCGAAATTCATAGAATTTTATATTCTTCATTTACAAAAAAAAAATACGAACGGGGCATAGACTATTATTATAGATGCAAAGTAGTACAGATTCGCAGGCTTAATCCGTATAATATTGTTAGAAATTCAATTTAATTTGTTTTTAGCAATTAATTTATAAAATAAAAGGTGTATAAATGGCAGGATTATAGGACTAAAGGATTTTTAATCTCATTAACGACTTGAATCTTCTCAGTCGAAGCAAAGCTTCAGCTGTGGAATTAAAAGATACATTTAACTCTATTCGTATACATACAAAGCGAAAGTCCGGAATAAAACTAGTATTTATTTTAAGGGAGTAAATTGTTTTTGAATCTTATTTATCTTTTAGTAATAATTGCAACGAGCATTTGAAAATAACTAAAATTTACTAGGTATTCAAATTGAAATGGTATTTATAATTTTTCTCGTTGCTATACTCACATAACTTGAACTTTTTGAGGGAGTTTTCGAACGTGCACTGAGAAAATCGCGTTAACTAGATGCGTGAGTTATATTTTTTTCAGTTACCATTACTAAAAAAATTGTTATTGTGACATAACTGTCAGTATTCACAAGCATTTGGTCTTGCTCTGGCAGTCATTTCATTTAGGTCGTCACAACTAAGCCTTGAATTCTGATAACTGAACATTTTAGTAGCCACCTACCACCTATCATTGTAGTTGTAGCAACATGTATTAACTTAGTTGTTGGGTTTTATAAAAAATTATCGAAAAAATTAGTTGAGCAAACGGAAAACTAGTTGCAACGACTAGTACTCGGTAGAAGACTGTTCGGGATATTCCGTTCGACAATGAAGCTTTTGCAAAATTCGTCCCGACTTTTTGGCTGTTCCGGCTTCGACTTCGTTCGATTCATTCGGGCTCATTCCACAGTGCGGCAAACTGCGAACTTCATGTGATGGGGTAGGTAGGCACATGCTCAAAGCGTAAATTTAAAAAAAAATGGAAACCGCTGAGCAGCAGCAGTATCAGTATCAATATGAAAAAGTTTTTTGCGAGTGGAATCTGGGCAATCTGGCTCCTGTTTAAGTGCGTTTCAGGGTAAGTAGGTAAACGGTTATTATTTCCTTCAGTTTCATTTAGGGACGTTGAAAAAATTTTAAGAATAAAATACCTATTATTTTGGTAAAAGGTGTTGTTTTCTGACTGATTTACCAAGTGTTCGGTATACTTTTTTGAAGTTTTTTTTTTTTTAGTTTCAAAGAATGAATGTTTTAAGAATTTTATAAATAATAACTCGTTGTTCTAAAGTTGCCTTCATCCTCAAATTAATATTGTGCTTTTTGAATAAATTAATTAACTGCTATTATAGCTATTCTCTTCTTGTTCTAACCAAAAATATCAGTTATCAATACTAAATAGAAAGGTAAGGATAGCTATAGGGACCTAGTGGCTCCAGCCTAAATGTTGATTCTGCCCAATAAGGTTCCTAAGGTAGTTTTTAGCATTGCAAATGTTACTTGCTTTTTTTATCTAAATAATTATAAAGTCTGTTGCAACACAAGCCTTTTCTACATAAAAAATTTGAAAGCATTAACAATTTTACATTGTATTGCCAACATTTTGAATTTTATCTTTAAACAAAAAAACAGACACATTCGGTCCATATGGCGGCATCTTTTGCCAGCTGAAATAATTATGTTATCGGTGACTTCGACAATGGCGTAGGCGCTTTCTTTTGTACTACCTTAATCTACTCGACCTAATACTTCGTTGCTCTTTAACCTCGATAATAGTTTTCGAACGTAGTACTTTTCACATAGAGGATCGACAGGTTAACAGGTTTTCCTTCAAAAATGGAGATATACTATTACTTAGGGTTTTACCGAGGAGCTGTGTTTACCGGAGAGTTGTTTTTCTCAAGGTATCCATTCTCAACAGGCCCCATCTCTGAGCATAAAGCTCTTGACTTCTTCACGTGTGGATACCTATACCTCCACATTCGACGAAGAAAACTGAACTTCTAGCCTCAATCTACCTCGATTCCAGGCTAGAATCTGCAACTTCCTTCCACACGGAAAAACATTGTTCTTTATATTTAAGAATATTCATATTCTTGGAAAAATAAACTTGGCTTGAGAATAATTCTCTTTCATTACCAATAATGAATACTTAGTTAAGGAGCTCAGTTATTCTTAAATTCTGACAGCAGTTGCTCTTGAATCAGAAGTAAATATACTTGATACAAAAATATGTTTTTGATATGTAAAAATGTTTTAGAAATTCAATTAAGTCTAAATTATATTTCAGAAAAGCAGCTTCTGATCTAGTTATAAATATCATATCAGAGTTTCAAATGAAGAAGAATATATGCTTAGGCTTAGTTTACATAAAATCACTACGATCATATTATCTTCTTGAACTAAGTAGTTACAATTCATCTCAATTCAATATTTCTTATACCTAATCCAATATCTAGTTATTCTCAGTTGAACTACTTTATTATTGGACAAAGATGTATAACTTATCAGAATTATCCCATACGATCACCATTCCATTACGCGTGCAGAATTCCAGAACCCTATGAGCCAATACGCCTGTCGCCTACTGCTGTTTTACGTGTTACGTTCACTATTTGTTTAGTGAATTGTGGGCGTTGTTCCCGGAGTATTGAGGTAAATTGGCCTTTCCATAAAGTTTCCTCGGCGAGTATTAGATAGGTTTGGTATTGGCTTTAGGTGAATAGAGGAGGTCGCGCCTTGATGAAGGAGGTTGGAGATAACTCCACCTCTGACCAGTTAACCCCTGCACCCCAGAATGTACACTCTAAACCAAGGAGGAAGCGCATCAGTAGTGCAGAGGCAAAAAGACGGAGGAAGGCGCGCGCCCCTGCTGCAGAGGCAGAACAGGAACGTGCGAACCTATCTCCCCAAAAAGTTCCCCTGATGGAAGTAAGGCCCCTGTAGCCATCTCCCAGCCAGGTGGCAGTATGAAGCACCGCCCACCTCCAGATGCTAAGGCCCACAGGTCAAAACCTGGTGTGATGGGCGGAAATGAACGCAGGTGTGGCCTGAAGAGGAACCGGTCCGAACGCTCTCCAAGGGCAACCCTGAAGATGCGGCCGGAAGTTGTCATGGGAGCGGCTTTCCCGAAAGCAGCCCCTGCACACGGCAGCTACTCCCAGGCAACTAAGAACCACCTAAGAGTAGCTATAATAGACAGACAGGACCCGCTTGGGAAGCTGACTGCTGAACAGGCTGGTGCTGTCCAGTCAAACCTTGAGGGTCTCTTGGACAAGGCGGTCCAGGAGAACCTACAAAGAGGCCTAAATGTCGAGGATATTTCTCACTCCGGGGAGATCCTTAGGATCATATGCGGAGATGGGGAGTCCCTTGAATGGCTCAAAGGGGCCGTAAAGCAGATCCCCGTCTTATTGGAGGGGGCTCAATTGGAAGTCGTGCAGGCAGATGACCTCTCCACGCTGGCTAAGGCAAACCTTTGGATCCCCGAAAAGCCGGAAGAAAAAGGACTTGTCCTAGCATGACTGGCGGTCCAAAATGTCGGCATCGACATCAAAAAATGATCGGTCTTTCACACCGAAACCAAGGCTGACCCACAGGGTTGCCTTTATGTGTTCGGCATACCGGAGGCCGACCAAAGGTTGATTAGTGAGAGAGGCGGGAAACTGCATTACAAATTTTGCACCTTCTTACTAAAAAGCAGTTAGAGGCACCAGGAGGACACATCGTCTCCCATGGACGTCGCTGAATCTCCTGTAACGGTGAGGGGCGACTCCGGGGAGAAGGCTGGGTCCTCGGGGGATCTCCAACAATAGATAGTTTCTGGAAAGGTTTTTCGCGTCTCAATCAGGAATGACCCTCTGTCAAATCAACTTACAGCATAGTAGCGCAGGAACATAAATGCCACCTTCCTACCGCAGCTGTCTACCCCCGATTTGGCAGTGGTTATGACAACTTGCGACATGACAGATGGACCCATGGATATTGTCATCGCTTCCAGCTACCTTCCGATAGACACATCGATGCCGGAGCTTACAATAGCTCTGGCAAATCTGGTGGAGTACTGTCGGAGACATGAACGGCAACTCATCATTGGAGGGAATACAAACGCCCATCACAATGTTTGGGGAAGCGAAGACAACAATACTCGAGGCGACAATTTAGTGGAATTTCCCATCTCCACAAATTTAGAAGTTCTCAACAATGGCGGCGTACCGACATTTGTCACGTTGGGAACTAACACAATATATAAAGGGTTTGAAGGTATCAGACGAAGATAAGTTATCCGACCATGGACTGATAACTTTCAAACTGGAGGCAAAGAAAATGGAGGAACGTAGATATCGAAACCCACGTTGTACCGACAGACGCCTTTTCAGGGAGCAGCTGGAAGTGCAACTGGACGAAAATCTGCCCTTCACACAATACCAGACAGGCCCAGATATAGAAAGAGGCGTACTCAATCTAACTGAGGCAATAGTCAAAGCCTATGAGGCGGCATATCCGTTGAAAACAATACGCTCAAGTAGAGGAACTCCTTGGTGACGTTTAAGACTTGAGCGACTCAAGAGAGAAAGCAAAAGGGTTTTTAATAGAGGGAAAAATACCAAAAGGGCGACTGACTGGGATGCGTATAAAGTACACCGACCGCAGTATAAAGGGGAAATTCGCAGATCACAGAGAGAAACTTGGAGACATTTTTGCAGTGATATATAAAACACTACAGCTGCAACGCGGCTAAAGAAGGTGCTCTCCAAAGACTCCAAACCGCTAGGTCTGCTGAAAAAAGTGGATGGTACATACACCACCACTTCAGCTGAAACGACCGATGTTCTTACAAAGCACGTGTTTCCCGACTGTAAGATCTTAGAACACACCTGGAATAACCATAAGACTGTTACTCCTACGGAGGTTGATTGGCTGGTGGCCCAGGAAGTGGTTAGTAAATCAAAAGTTGAGGAAGCAATCGATAGCTTTTCTTCATATAAAGCACCAGGGCTAAACGGGATATCTCCGGCGCTTCTACAGTGGGGTCTGGACAACGGTAACAACGCAGGCAATGAAGTGGCTGACAGTCTTGCCAGAGCAGCTTCAGGGAATGCCCCGATAGGACCTCGACCTATGATCCCTCTGTCAACTAACACCGTCATTGCCGTAGTTAAACAAATAACTCGTTCAGACCACGCCAAAATGTGGCGCAGTTTAGACACTTGTAAGCAGAGCAGATCAATGATCGACCTCCCTAGCAGGAAAAGAGCCGAGTATAGTGTACAGTTGTCTAGGGAAAACCTCCGCCTACTGGTAGGAATTTACTCAGGAAACTGTAGACTAAATAAACACCTTTACACCTTGGGTGTTGTTGAGATCCCAATGTGTAGATGGTGCGACGCTGCAGACGAAACAATTGAACATGTGCTTTGTCGCTGCCCAACCCTTTGTCAACAACGGCAAGCCATACTGGGGAACATCTGGCCTGATATGACCAGGTTGAGGCGCACCTCACCTGGAACTCTCCTGGAATTCATCCAACGGGTGCGATGTCTGCGGGAGACCCCCGGGGAGGAGAATGCGCCTTAACAAATGGAGGTGGCACAAAGGGCCCTAAGGCGAGGCCTAGTGTCAGTGAGGTAACTCACCCTCCTTTGCAACTATTCAGATCCAGACAGCTTTAGCTGTCAAATTGACAGCTAGGCGCTCTTTTGAAACGTTTTTTCAAACAGAAGTTGGTGTCGAGTGATATATCGTTTTATAGGTCTCTTCAATCTTAATTTAATCCCCGATTCTGGGAACATTGGGTTAAGCGGTTTTCAAATGATGACGAAAAAACATGGGGTTGTTTTAGTCATAAATACTCATTCAAAAAAAATATATCAGTTTTCATCAACAATACTAAAAAAAAAAAACGTTAAAATATATATATATATATATTTTTTTTCAACAAGTTTTTATGAAGTAAAACAACCGCATGCTTTTTTGTCATCATTCGAAATTCGCTTAACTAAATATTTTCAGAATTGGGGAGTAAATTAAACTAATAATTATCTTTACTTCGTCATCAATTCTTCTTTATTTTATCCACAATACAGCTTTAATTTGTAATTGTTTCCTGTTCTAATTTTTGGGAAACTACTGAAAACATTTGACAATAATTTGAGCCCTTTTCAATTTTGCTTGCGGCTGTGGATTGGCGAGGGCGCTGCCTTTTATTTGAACGCAGTCCCACTGGTGGTGAACTTACCTTTTGTCTGGCTTGGTGCCTCTCTCCTTGCCGCATAATGTTAATGCATTAGGAAATTTCTGTGGAGAGTTCGCGTAAGTTCCACTCTACAGTTTGATGAAAATTGGAGTCTCTTATGATTTGTTCCAAAACTTTTAAGGGAAATTCACTGCCCAAACTTTGTGTTCTGTTTTATTGTAATTTTAAAATTTCGTCATAAATGATTCGCTCATTAGTCTAAGATTTTTTTTTTTTGTATCATCCTTCTAATTTTCACTCAAAATTCTATTCGATTCACTACTTAACGAATTTGGAGCCAATAAAATGAGTCACACAAGCAAACTAAATGGAGGTAATCGACCAGAAATAATAATTGAGTAAAAGTCCATCGCACAAAAAATTTCAGGAAATTTAAAATAAGCTCATTTCTTTTTAATGGGCAATTAAATAGACAAAATTAAGGTGAATAGCGCGAAACTGCTGTAGCAATTTTATATTTTAAAAAAATTGGTAACTTGAGAGGTTTTCTATGGCGGCTCGTCAGAGACACAACATAGAAATAATTCCTAGGTATACCTTTATGTGATGGCGTAGAACGCGTGGACAGCACTTCCAGAAGTAGGATTGCAACATACCGTATAAGCAGCGATACTGAGCACATTACATTGACTTTACAATATTTTTTAATGATGTTATGATGAATGAAAATGCTGAATGTATTGGAGCAGATGTTGGGATTACATCGTGCAATAAAAGTAAATATCGCCAACATGCTCGGCAAGTGCAGCATTCAAATGCAATTGCCATAAACCTTTTAGAGTATTCATGCAGAAATTTCGAATTTGAAAAGATTACTATAAATATACTATACCAAAAAAGATACTATACCAAAATAATGCCGACAATCACAGTGGAGCCTCAGCCCCACTCATAAATAAGAAACTCAAACATATAATAACAAAATTTGTCTTTATCTCGGACAGAGTCATCTACATGATAGCATTGTTTTGGTTTTAAAAAAGTACGGTTCTAGAACAGTCCAAAAAAAACAATTGCACAGTTTACTATTGGAATTTTTGATAACAGAGCCGTTGTCATTTTGTTGATAGATAAACATTTTCGTAACATGTTCCATTTCTTCTAATTTTTATTATAAAGTTGTATTTCCGCCATTTCAGAATCAGCAAAATAATAATAATTCATAGCTAAAGTCACAGACGATAAAAGAAGTTAATCTGTGGCTAAAGTAATTGGAAAGTATCAACTAGATTTGGTTAATTCTATATAATATCCGTTTTGCCATCTTTCCATAATGTGCTTAAAAATACAAATATCTGTTATTAAGAGAAGGTACCATCTAGTACCTGATAAATTTATTTTTATAAATTGTGATAGTTTTCTTTGGCTATGTATTTTTATTATTCCTCATAGACAGTCATTGACATTGCTTTTAGTAAATAAATGTATTTCTGTCTTTCTTTAACTTTGATTCTGAAATAATTATTTTTGGCTTGATGACCTAATTTATTAGTGGTTTTGTGTTTCCAGCATAACCCTAAATTTAAATCATTAAAATTTGTAAACAATTAGGATTATTCTAGTGTGTTTTATCTATTCCCATTTAATCAACGTGGTGTTTCATTAATGAAGTGAGCACGGTCTTTTATGTGTGTTGAGTGTTGTCTTCTGATTGGTTCAATGGTTACTACGCAGTTAAGTATAAAAAAAATACGAGACTGGTTTTCCTGTAAGGTTTATGGTTCTAAAACGGTCTCTTCTTTGGCAGCGGCTGAGCAGGCAAGTCGATTTTCATTTTTGTAATTTTTTCCTTCAGATTTCTGAATTTTCCCTTAATATTTTTTCAATTTATTTCACTACCAGAGTTTTTATTACCTGGTATCTAATCTTATCTACCTTTAAAATATAAATATTATTTTTTATTTTTTTACCTATTGTGAGCCTCCATTTTGTGATTGGGCGCCACGTTTTCTGAGGTGAGTCAATTCAAAGTTTTGGCTAATAAATAGGTATTGCTGCTTTGGTTTCCAGAATCAATTGTTAGTATGGGATTATTGGACCATTTGCTCTAAATAGAGTTGGTGAAAACCAAATTTGTGTGTCCATCCCTATCAACACGTTACCGAATCCAAGCAGAGGCCTGTGTAGAAGCATTTATTGTTTGAATCCCTCATTATCTTCTCGAGGAAGGAGAGTGCTGTAAGGTTGAAATTTTAGGATAGAAATTTGGATAGGTTAAAATTAATTTAAAAAGTTTTAATTAAAACATCTAAAGAATTTTGACAGCTCCTTGGATTTAATTTATTTTACCCTCAACTTTATCTTGTAGTACCAATAGGTACCTTAAGTTAAAAATTTGTCTATTTGGGGAAAATCTAGAGATTTATTTTTTTATCTTGTTCAATTTTTCTTAAATTTTTAAAATTTTTGCCTGTTCATCGACTGCTCGAGAAGCAGCATTCTGCTCCGGATTGGAAAGGTACATACTGAATCAGATTCACCAGAAAAAAACCAAATGTTCATAATTACTTCAAATTTAAAGATACATTTGTCTTTCTTTACCTATTGATCAAAAGTCCAAATGGATGGAGGTGAAATTAATGAAAAATGGTACAAATGCCATGGAAACTATAAATATTTTGAAAGAAATATTTTTAGTTTTTGGTCTTGTTTTGTCAAGCAAATGGCATTTTCACAGTAAAATCACCCCAATACCATCAGCAGAGTAATAGTATGGCTGAACGAGGTGTGCAAACTATAAAAAAAGGCCTAGAAAAAAGTTTGTTCACACAAGAAGGTGGAGATATAGATATCAGAAAAAAATATTTTGCGAAAATTGTCAAGTTTTCTGTTTACGTACAGGAACACACCTTCAACCGTTACTGGAATATCTCCAGCTGAGTGTGTTTTAAAAATTAGGTCTAGGACTAGTTTTGATTTGCTGAAACCTTGCCACGATTTTATCAAATAGCAGAAAAAGTGTGACTTAAATTCACAAGCCGAAAGGAAAGTAGTTTTGTATAAATTCAATAATAACGTTTATGTTGAGAAGAAACTAGCAAAATTGTTGCTAAAGGGTAAAATTATGAAAGTTTTGAGCTTGTGTACATATTTGGTTGAAGATGACATTAAGTTTATTTATTCTGATAACTTGCGTCCACAGTCAAGTGTTAGTGTTAACAAATCATTGCTACCAACTGTAGTCTCTCCTGAATTAGGTGAAATGAAAATGCCGAATATAGTAAATAATACCTCAAATGTGACCATATAGACCCGAAAGGGTCTAATGAAAATCCTTCATCATCCAACGTTTTAGAAAATAGCTCTAAACAAACAAATTTAGGTGTGAAAGAATTTGAAATTTCTAAAACGAATGAGTCCTTTGAAGATTTAAAAAAAAATATATTAAAAAATATTTTTCAAGTGAAATTTCAGCTGCCCCAATTATACCCCTAGTTACTCGTTCTGGAAGGTAAATAATTGAACGTCCTTCTAGATTGAATATTCAATAATAAAGATAGGGGAAAATGTAATATAAGTAGGCAATATTTTCTGTTTTATTGTCTACATCTTGTTATATTATGTTTTGTAAATGTGTCAGTCTAATATAAAATTATTAAAAAACGTATTGTTCGTTCGTCGTTTGTTCAGCAAATCACAGCAAATACACAACAGATAGAACCCACATTAAATACTAAATAGATCCAAAAGAGAATTTTGAAACGAAACAAGACAAATACCTACCTACTTTCCTTCTTTTCACAGAAAAGGAAATTGACTCAGGTTTAATAGTTTGTCTTACAACAGAATGTTAAATATTCAGGAACTTGCAAAGAAACTAAGACTAGACGAATCTATTCGGAATTCCGTCGACCGGCTTGTTACATCTACATATTACATAAATTGTTAATGTTTCTACTATAACTATTTTTGGCTAAAGTATAATTTTTAGCGCAAGTTCTCAGTGTGTAGAATGCCATTTTATGACACAGTTGTTGAAAATAATTACTAATGCTAAAAGTAACTTTTAACACTGATGAGAAAATATAAAAACATAAGAAATTTTAAATTAAAATGAAATGTTTATTCAATTGCCCGTACAATTAGTGGAACTGCAATTAAAATAGGAAACTCCATGGCCAATCTCATTGGTAGCTGCGACAGAATTTATTTTCTGTACCAGGGCAGGCAGCAATGTTATTCTCCGAATGTTTTTTTTTATTTTGTAGCGAGTTTCCTTCTATATAACCCTCCGCTACTCTACGGGAATTCTATCCATTCTGTCTCTCAATTGTAGTAAGATTAGCACCAGATTCCGCAAACAAACTACCTGAGGAACGTCGGAAACAATGTTCAGTATAAAGATGGGACTCAAGTAATTTTAACGATTTTGGCAGACATTTTACCAAATGTGTTGATTCCAACTGGAGTCTTTGCACATTTATTCTTACTGCATCTTATGAAAATTCTTGAATGATTAATGTCAGCTTGACGTACTTTGTATAATAAGTAGTTCATATACGTGTTATATATGTGTCTGGTATACCTATGCACAACTCATGAAGTTCCCAAATCTTCAATGTTATTTAATGTCAAATTACATAGTTTTTGTCGACAGCAAGCTCCAAATACACCGAAAATTGCGGCAACTTCTTGCATGAGATAAATTTTATCCGGGGCTTCGGCGAGAAATTTGTCGATTCGTTCACTTTTCAATACTTTCGGCTTTATCGGTCGATATCCTTAACTCTCAAGCAACGAGCTTGTAATATATCGTATGAGTTATTATATTATATATTATCATTATTATTATTACCATGATTCTTTACATGTTCTTATATTAATAAACAAATATTGAGTTGAACTTGAGCTATGTCATTTTGTACGGGAAGGCACTCAACACGAAGTTTCCTGAATCTACTTTGCCCGAGGTGAATGTGTTAATAGCCTAGCAAACTATGTCATTCGACATGAAATCCCACTTTGCTTCCATGAGGAAGGAAATCGGAACTTTGTTTATTACAGTCAAAGGATCACATCGTATTTAGCTTCTTTTATAAACATTTTTAATTTATTTATGAGATTTAACTTTATACTTGCCAAATGAATCATGGGTAATTTAAGTAGAATATAGAGTAAATATTTGTTAAAACACTATTATTATCTCATTACAAGTGGTACATGACAGGCATTTTGACTTTCTCCTAATAGGAAAAAAAATTAAATTCCGATGTTTTGTGTTTCGACCTCAAAGTTTATAGTAAAAAAATAATAAGGTGCATTAAAAAAATTATAACAATACTTACAAACAAGTCCCACCATTTTTGCATGTCGGTGTTCCGTTGGTGTAGCAGAATGATTTCGGCCCCTCTGAGCAATTGGAGCCTGAATAACCTTCAAAGCAGATACATTTGAATTTTCTGTAATGAGAAATAAAATCTATGATATGATTTATCTCATTTAATTTCCAATGTAGCCCATTAAAATACCGAAAATGGGCCACTAGATGTACATTATACTTTATTATTGCGTATATCTATCTACTTACTTGAAATTATCGTAGCACACTCCGGTAAATCCGCAATCCATCATAGTGCAAGTTGGTGTTCTAACCCCAGAGGTAGTTATCTCATAAGTTAAGTTGAATCCATAGGTATCCAAAAATCTATCGAGAACTCGAATGTGGGCCGAGTCTGCCGATTGCATTTTCAATTCGATTACCAAGTAGCTTTGATAAGTCTGTATCCAGCGGGTTCGTATTATGTTCGTTTCGTTTACTTGGTGAATTATTTTTGGATTTATTTTGTAGTCGCTTCCATATATCTGATATTCGGTGAAGGTTAAACCTGGAACCAAAATCATTTTTATGTTATTATTTTCGAATACCCGTCGGTTCATGAATTTATTATTACATTACATGACATTAAACAAATATGAGTACATAGATAGAAAAAATATTCAGCACTTTCTCCTTAAGTAATATGTTAATGGTCTGAAAGAAATATAGGGCAAGTATATAAGTAATAATTTACAATACAAGGGTGATATCATAATGGGTTCGGTAGTTTCATGCTCAGTTGCACTTACCACAACTAAATTTGTTTGAGCTAAGTTGCGTTATAACTTTAGGTAGGATTTCAATTAAGTTTACATGCACCCTACGCAAATAATGCCAACTTTGTAAAGTCCAGCTTAAATAATAATTTGCTGCGCGAACAATCTCTCAACGTCCTAATTATTTCCAGAATACCTCATAAATTGAAAAAGGACAACAGTCCCAAATAACGAATTCAATTAGTGACAAACATCTTCAGGGCGAATTCAGATCCTCCAATGTAACTCAGCAATTTCCAGATCGAACACGACCTTCTGTAATCCATAAGCCCTAACTAAATTACTGGAAAATGAAGAGTTTTGGTTGAGTTTTTCCCTTTAATAAAAAAAAGTTGCTGTAGGTCCGCTCCTTGAAAAGAGGAACTTAAACGGATTATTCAGAAAGATGCCTGAGAATATCTCAAACACTTTCTGAAAATTTGAACAAAATCGCTGAAGGTATTTTGAATCTAGAGGTAAAAAGTCAAAACTTTCCGAAAATTTCAACACTCTGTATTTTCTTAAGATGTTTGCGGACACGTGTACCTATGCAAAAATTGATTGTCCTACTCTACTCATCATAATAAAATGCGCACTTATTTCCGACTCACCCTGTATATCTTAATCTATCCAGATTTTGGAAAACACTTTCTTCCCACTACAGGCCCAATTGTGTTTGTTCGAGACGCTATTCTGCCAGAAGTATCCATTAATTCACACCGACAACATTTTATAATGCGGAAACAATATTTTATCAACGAGCGAGAATTTCTTGCTATGAATGTCTGTGCCGTGCAGCATTTCTGACCATATCTTTTTGGACGAAAGTCCCCCAACATGTCTCTTTCCTATTGAAGATCCAGGAAGTACATAAGCAAGATGGCGAATTAAACTTTAATAATAGAGTTACGAAATAGAACACAATCCAAAAAACAGGCATAAAATCAAAATCAAACAACCTAGAGGAAAAAGGAAACGAAGAAATAACACAAAACTATACTAGATTTGTAGATTTATACAAATCTGTCATTCAAAGGTAGAATTATCTAAGTCAAAACTCCTGGATGAACCTTATGAGGACAAATTAGCGTTTTGTAGTAGACAAAATAAGTTTAATGACTTGCACCACACAATAATGAATAAATAACTTAAAACATCTGGATGTTGAGTCGAGGCAAACAAACATAGTCAGTCAAAAATAGAATTAAGAGGGTTGTATCATAAATAAACGATTTACATAAATTCAGATCCCGTATGTTGCAGTTAAGTCATTTTCTCCAACAAAGGGCTTTGTTACGTGAAATAAGATTTATAGAGACCGAGATGCTTGACAAAGAAAAGCTCCTTAGACAAACTGACTGGGATTGAACATCCCCTTTTATTTACCTACTACTTTTATTTACCTCTCTACCCTACCTCGTTCATCATGTCAATAATACACACAAAAGCAAAAACGACGACGATTTTTCAACAGTTTAGGTACATATGAAGTGGACATAGATCGTTTGAAAAAAGCAACTAAAACAACCTAAAATGGAATGCTATAAGATTGCGTATTGTCAATATTATTGAAAGTTTCCTAACTCATAACTGATTTCACTTATCTCGCGATATATTTCACTTGATAATAACAGAAAGAAAAAAAAAAAACATAAAATCTTTACATCATTGCGTCAATTTTCAAAATGTTTGACTCTAGAAAAAAAAAGTTGTATCAGTTGTGTATCGTAAATATCTATATTAGGTATTATCGTGGCTTAAATCTTTATGTGAATATGTTATTATTCGACTCTTTAATCTGATGAAAGCTTCCGCAATTAGTTTATTGTATCGCCAGTCATACTAAAATACATTATTCAATATAAATATAAAGTTGTAGTGGGAAATGGGATATTCTACTTTCTATATAGTGTTTCTTCTATTGAACTATCTTCTGAGTATCTGAATTGCCAAGAAAACAGATGTGCAGGATATCGATTGAGAAATATATTCAGTAGAAGTGATAACAAGATTAGAAATAATGTGACAACTTGATAAAAGTTTAACACACTGACAAAACCACAGATAAAACACATCTGGGAACGCTGTATCTAAAAAATAAAGCTTTATCTATTAGCCAACGAGCACAATTTCTAGCGGATGCTGAAAATGTTCTATCCGTCCAGTATCTTCTACTATGAAAATCCATTTGTTTTAATCGTGCTTTTCAGGTTATGGACCAAATAAATCAATATAGTTTCAAAATGCTGTCTTTGAATAGGAGTCCGTAATTGCAGGTTTAGGATTTGTATCTCTAACGTTGGCAGTCTCTTCAAGCATATAGAACCAAATATAGGGCATCCCATTTGAAGAAAGCTAAAAGCATGCAACATTTCTGAGATTCAATTTTTGTTTCTGACCATGGATTCTAAAAATTTAGCCAATACTGACAATACTGTATAACTTTGTATTTACAACTTTCATCTACTTGTGGTGAAGGTGGTAGGTGGGGTATCAATATATAAAAAAAACACCCTGTTTTTGAACAATAACTTATTATATAAAGTCAGAATTTGTAAGATTATCCACTATTTGTCAATTCGCCTTTCAACAGGAATTAGTAATGTTACTTTACTAAACTAGTAACATACTGTGACTGTGACAAGTTATTCAAGTACAAATGAGTGAATTGTTGCGGAACTTATGGGTGGACCTCTACTCATCGATATACTGTTGAATTGTTCAAGTAAGACATTCACCAGAAACGTGCAGTTTTTAAACTAATGAGAACAACTCTCATTTGAGTGAGTCAGGTTAGTATCGTAATTAAACAACATATTGATGAATAGATGACTGCGGAACTCGCTGCGCTCGTCCCGCAGAGGTATACCCATTCACTAACATAATCAATCAGATATGGCTCTTCTCATTCCAAGCCAGAAGAAACGACTTGCAATTCTATGGTATGGCATAATGGTCAGCTAATCGAGAATCGTGGTACTTGGCAAGGATTTGAGGAACTTGGAATTTCGGTACTACTTCTTGACTTTCATATTCATCTAATTCAGGAACATAATGGTATAGTACGCCACAGTTCATGATGTATCCTCTCTCAGTCCATCTTTCAAAATCAACATTAGAACCATTATCAGATTTTTCAAAACATTGGATTATTTTATCGAGATCTGGGTGATTCATTTGTTCACGTTTGATCTGATTTGATTTTTGTCTAGGTAAATCGACAATTACAAAATTGGCTTCTGCTGCAGGAATTGCAGGGCGTGCTAACATATCAGCAACAACATTATCTTTTCCAGGATTATGTTCAATACAAAAATCAAAAGATTGCAAAGCTAAAGACCATCTTGCTAATCTGCCCGTAGGTGATTTGAGTGTCATAATCCATTCCAAGGGCTGATGATCACTTTTGATAATAATATTAGCACAATCTAAATAGCCTCTAAATTTGTCAGTCACGGACCAAACGACTGCTAGGGTTTCTCGCTCTGTTGTACTGTAATTTTACTCAGCTGATGTTAATAAATGACTGGCGTATTCTATAGGCCTTTCTTCTGACCCTTCCCCTGGAGTTAACATGCGCCAATAGCATAACTAGAGGCATCCGTCTTGAGAATATATGTTTCATTAGGGTCAGATTGCTGAAGGAAAGGGCTAGATGTTTAAAGCGATTTCAGATTTTCAAAAGCCTTGAGTTGATCTGAGCGCCAGATCCATTTGACGACTCTCTTTTTAGTGAGAAAAGTAAGAGGTTTTGAAATTTCTGCGAAGTTTTTTATTGAATGTCGAAACCAGAAACAAGTTCGTAGAGAAGAAAGTAGTTCTTTGACATTTCGAGGATTTGGTATTTCAGAAATAGCAGAAACCTTATCTGGGCTTGGAGCAATACCAGAAGAAGTTATTACATGACCGAGGTAATTGACAGAAGAACAAGTAAGTTTACATTTCGAACGGTTTAGTTGAAGTTTGAATAATTTTAAGCGATCAAAAACGAGGTACGCTAATATGTTAATATCTTGAAGTCCAGAACAAAATCTTTCAATTAGTCTTTGAAATGTGGACGGAGCATTTCGTAATCCAAATGGCATCCTTGTATATCTAAAAGTTTTTTCTCGATCAGATGGTTTAACTGATAGTTGATGATAACCAGATCTTAAATCCAAAGTTGTCATAAAACTAGTTTTCTTTCCAGCATGTAATGTATCAATAATGCGAAGCAAGGGGTATCTGTCGGGTTTTGTTTTTGCATTCAACTTGCGGTAAACCTTATGCCACCATCTTTCTTTGGAACAAGAACCACAGTAGCAGCATAGGGAGACTCGCATTCTTCTATAGTTCCATCAGCTAAGAGTTTACCTTTTTTTTTCGCAATTGCTCTTTTCTTATAAAAAAAAATCTTGTGAGATTTTAGTCGCATTGGAGGTTTCTAGATTATTAATAGCGACATTATAAGGAATAAAGGAATATTCAAGAAGTGTTCTGCTGTTATGATGTTCTGGAATAGAAATGAGACAAATATGATGAATTCTATCTTGAAGCATTATTTCAACATCAAAGAAGTAGGCTTCAACCTTAGTACTTTCACCATCAGTAAGAGTCACTTTCATTCTTTTTTTATATGAGGTATATCATCTTCCAGAAGAATTTTATTCAATTTAGCACCAGAAATACTTGATTGTGCACCAGAATCAAGATAAGTTAAGCCATGATGACCTTGTATAGCGTTACGATAAATATATCATTTACGCAACATGTT